GAGTTCTTTTTTCATAAGGGATGTGGATCTACTACTTGTCATTGTATACTGTTAGCACGTACTGCTGTTTTCAAATGAGAGTTCAACTGCTTACAAAAAGCATCGTTTTGCCTTTACCTTTTGCCCTGGTATGTTGCTAACTAGAGCAGAACTACCAGACTTGTGTTGTTACCGTTGTGCTGAAAGGATTCTGGTCAGATTGCACAGATTTTTTTTCTTTAAATTAATTTTATCTTCTAACTGTCTTCTGAAGATCTGTTTGCTATATACAAGAGTGTTTGCCTGCCCTTTTCAAAGCAAATCCTAACAGTTAGGAATTGTGAATTATTTAAAAAAAGAATGGAAAATTTCTGAGGTATTTAACTTCAGGGTTTATTGTGGCAGGGGGGACGGGGTACGGGAACAAAATTGGACCAAAGCTTATGTGCCTTCAGTAGTTTTACATGTAGGGTTTTTTCATATCTATTGCAGTCTTAAGTATAATAAATACTTTTCCCCCCTGGAAATTGTATATTTATATTGTTAAAAATGAATGTTGTCCACTGACTATACAAGAAGCGAATTACAGTTGTTTCAATACAGATTTAATTATCCCTCTGCCTTTACCATTGCAGTTTTTTTTCTTTTGTACTGCAACATGCAGGAATCCAAGCATAACCCACATATTTCCAACTTTGAATAGTAATAGCATGTTGTGCCTGGAGCAGTCCCAAAGAAATTGAATGCTTACGTAATTGAAGGTCCTTGATAGATGAAGAAAGCTTTTACCTTAGCAGACTAACGTCATCACTGTAAGCAGTTTTTCAGTTCTTGGAAACTGTGCATTATTTATGAGTGGGAAGCTACCACCTATGTACTTAGTTCGTTTAAGCACTTTCCAGTTCTTTTTGAATATGTTATCCACTTTCTGCAACAGTTCACCCTAGAACTGCAGCAGCACAAAACAAAGGTTGCTAACCAAGCAGATTCTTGCATCAGAACGTCACCCCACTCTCTGACCAAAGACTGACTGTTCTGGTTTTACTGAGACATTTTGTGGAAAACCTATGTTTTCTCTCACGCTCCTTTCTGATGGGAAGACCCAATGCAAAGTGGCCTTTACCTGAGGCTACTATCAGTGGATGAAACACAGTGGAAAATGAGATCGTAACGTGAACCAAATGATGTGAGATAAGGCAAAAAGTTAATGGACTACTTTTTAGTACTGTATTCAAGACACACAAAGCATGGCTAAGAATTGCTGACATTCCTTCATTTTGCGTGATCTGTTCATAAAAGTTCCTTTTCAGTTTATAAAAATGTTCATCTAACACAAGAAAATGCTGTAAATATTTGTAACATCATGTTTTGTGGGTTTTTTTTAAACTTGGCAAAAAAGTGTTTTGGGGAACAAATGAAAGTGTAAAATTTTTTATATAAAAAACCAATTGTCTTGTATATTTTAATAAGCAACAGCTTTCATTTGTAAAGCATCTTGTGGCATTGCATAAAAAGGATTCCATGTCTGTTGAGATGACTTAAAACTGAAAAGAAGATGTAATATTCAAGAAGCCTATTTTTTTTGACTGTGTAGTGCATGGTTAATTTGATTTTGTTTATGCTGCAGTATATTCTGTTTCTTTTAGGTTAGTGTATTTGCCAATTACTTGGTATCTATACCTAACTCTTCCTAACTCTAGTTCTTGTAGCATGCCTTTTAATAAATGTCACTACAGCTGTACTCTCTCAAATTTTCCTGTGTTCTTGTCTATTGCTTGGGGTTTTTTCTTGTCTTATAATTGTGCAGCTATTAATGTCTTATTTTCTGGTGTTTTTTTTCTTTAGCATACATGGCCATCTAAGCAAAAGCTTTTTATATCAAAAGTACTTTAAGAGGACTAGTGCACATCAACAACAACAGTTGAAGTTCAGCAGCACCTAAACTTTCCCCTGAGCAGGGTAGAAATTCTCACTTTCAGTAGGATGGAAATCTATTCTACAACCCTGAGCCAATTCAGGCTTCATTCTTTGAGACACAGATAAGAGATTTCAAGGCTTGGGGCCTCATCAGTGAGAATTCTTTTGTTTTCTTTTTTACCATGCTGTACTCTTCCCTAGCTTTAGGATTCAAGGTCGTATCATTTGCACAAAGATTTTAAAAAATTTAAGTAGTAGCTGAAAAAGATGGTCTGCTTTCAGCTTCCTGTTTCTCAACTTTCTTGTTGATTGCTTTTCTTTCATACTCTTCTGCTTGTCCTGTGTGTTATACAACACTAACTTAGATCCTTTTACTCTTGCATCCAAAATTCAGGATTGATGGTAAACAGGCAGTAGTCTAAAACAATAGATACAAGTATGTGGTGATGTGGAGAGTGCAGTGCCTCTTTCGGAGCTAAAATTCCCAGCCAATCTAGCAAGGATTTGTTTTGTCTGCAACTGACTCCAAGCCTAGCAGATCTTGAAGAATCTGAAGTCTCATACATGTACTTAATGACTGCCTATGTCTCAAGGCTAGGACCAGAGCACTGAGCAAATCTAGTGTAAACTATGCTATTACCAATCTCTGAACATAGATGCTTTTCTAGGGAGAAAAATCTGACTCAGTTTAGACTGGATTGCAGCTTTCAGCAAAATGCTTATTCTCCAAAGGCTAGATATGTAGTCCCCAAGTGCAACTCTTGATTTTGTCCTTGGTACTTAAATATTTGACGAGCATTCTGGAGAAAATACTAGCTTTTGGTGGTCAAAATCTGGCTTCTCTTTTTTTTTTTTTTTTTTGGCCAAGTCTGCCTGAGGAAGTGTGGTAGGAGAGTCGAATTCCTACCTGATGTCTTCTCCCCTTCCTCCTTAACCAAAAAATAAATCCCGTATCAAATTCTTGTCTGCTGTTGTTGTACCCCTGTAATATAATAACAAGTAATTATTTTTTCCTTAAGTAGTTAATATGTGTCCATCTTGAAAAATCAAAAATCACTTTTAAATAGCATGGATATAAAATTTTTCATACCTGAATTTGTTCTGTTACTTGCAAGCTGAAGCAGAAAGGGCAGTAACTGGTGAATTTGCCAACAGATAATATCTCATATGGTTTGGATCAGTCCCAAAAGATTATCCTACAGCCCCAGGGCTCACCCATTTACAGAGCTGGAAACAAGATAATGTATGTTTAAAAAATAAAATAAAAATCCCCTCTTGCATTTTCTTAAGTGTGCTCAGATATTTTGCCTTGAGTTCTTCAGAGTGTAGCAGGTGAGTACAAGGATGTCTAAACAAAAGATACGAAAGTGGAACTCATGTGGTAGGATACGTAGGTAAGGGGAAGCATGGGAGGTAGAGGCAGGGGGGAAAAGAGACCTCCGAGGAGTGAGTCCTCCCAGAGACCATTTCCAGACCAATGCCTTTGCTGTTGACCATAAACTCAGATTAGTGTAGGGTAGCAACATGAGTTGCCTGACTCCAGAAGAGCTCTTATAAGGAGAGTAATACTTCAGTCTCAAGTTAGTGATCACTCCCACTCCTTAGGATGTGCTGCTTAGTCTAAGTCAGTTTATCTGGGTAACGCTTTTAGGACCTGTTTTTTATTTCCAATCTGCTTCAAGTACAGCTAGTCAGTGTCCGTCTGAGAGAATCTTAGCTTTTAATGCAAGCATTAAAAATTATTTTGTTGAAAAGCCAAAGGCATACCGTCTGTAGTACCTGCATTAAATGTACTGTGTCAAGTGTCTTTGCAGCTATGGTTTAACTGCTTCTCTTGTGTGTGCATATTACTTGTATGATGAAGGGTCTATAATAGTTTTTACTGAGGGTTTTGTGTGGTATTTTTTTTCCCTCCAGAGCCCATCTCGGTCTGAAAAGCCACATTATTCCATGCTTGGAAACTTTTAAGGAGTTTTCAAGGTTATTGCATAATGCTGCAGGCTTGCAGCTCTGTGGTTGGATAGAGTTTCTAGTTCTACCCTGCTATGGTGGTACCTAGCACACACCTAGACAATGTATTTGCAAACACTGTTTGGTGAGTAAGTATCACTGCCTGTAAAAATAAAAATGAAGCTTTTTAAAAAAATATGATCTTGACACAAAAAAAATGACACTTAAGGCTATCTCAAAAGCTAAAGAAATTAGGATAACTCTTCTGTTCAGTACTATGAATTCTGTTGATGATCTAGGAAGAACTGTCTGTAGCTCCATAAACTATTTTAGTCACTGCAATGTGGGTGGGTGCTTGGAGGGAGGGTTGTGGGTTCTCTTCTAATTAAAAACTTCCAGTTAAGAATTGACAAAAAATTGCAATTGTCAGGTTTAGTTCTTACCAAAGAACACGGCAATGTCACGGGCTGATTTTTCAGCATTTCTAACCTGTTTTTTCCTTCCCTCCCCTCTTATATCCAATTCTCTCCCCTGGCTAAATTGCCCAAAAGGAGTATGAGATTTAATAGCAGCAATACAGTGGGTTCAGCAAAATGTCATTCCTGTATATGCAGCATTTGACTCATCTGCTCAACAGGTTTGGAAATATCTTGCAAATTGTGTAACTAAGGTTCCTCATTTTACAAAGCTGTGAATGTAGTTTTTCTATTTATGAGCCTAGTAAGTTTCTGAAAAGGGTTTGCTACCTAAGTACTCTCTTCTATCACATCTATTAACTGCAAGTTGTTTCTACACCTTCCTTCATGTATGAAGTTTGGTTGCATTACATACTCTTTTCCTTTTTGTGTGTATTTTCTCAGTGTGACTGGATAGCTTCAAATTGTGTCTTCCTGAGGCTTTAATCATCTCGTCAAAAGCATAAAGGGTTCACACTGCTCTAAAGGGTTCACGCTGTTCCTGTATGTGTTTCAACAAGCCTACCCTCTTTCTCAGAGCCTCCATTGGTCTATCAGATACCAAACTGTTGAAGATTTTGATAGGAGACCTATCCCCATTGTTGAGTGCCTTCCGTTTCAACGATAAACGACAATGCATTATGCTATTTGAGTTCTTGAGTTTAAGCATCTCCCAGGATAAGATCTTTCAATCTTAATTCAAGCACAGGAATATAAAAGTTAATACCCAACACCATGCTTCTTGATGCTAAGACTTGTTATGGCATAAATATCTTTTCCTCTGTTTCTGCTCTAGGTTGCCACTGTTGGTTACAGCCTGGCTGTCACAAGATGGCCTGGGCTAATTTCACCTTCAGGGCATGCTATGTATGCTTGTAAGATTCCCAAAGAATTTCCTGGAACTCTTCATGGAGCCCTTTATTCAGCACTGAGGGCAGCACTATGACTGCTGCTTGTGTGAATTATTTTCCTTTGAGGAAGGTGTTCAATGACTGGGTATCTTTATCTTTAGCTGTTATATAAACTGCTTATTCTGTGGGGCTTAGCTTCTCCCAGCTCTATATTACGGGAAGATTACACTTTACACTTAGCTTTTATTTTGATGCATCAGATTTTAATCAAGGCCCTTGAAAAATATTTTCACAGTCATTATTGC